CCCCTTCCTCCACTCTCTTCTGACTCCTGAGACTGAAGATGATGGCGGCCAGGTTCAGGTAGCAAAGTAGCTTCTATCATTCTCTTCCCTGACTGTGTTTTTTCCCCATTGACACAATGCCCTACCCAGTGTTCTGCTTCTTGGTCTTTATACATACGTATAGTATGTCCGTATCTTAGTGGGAGATGTACTACACTTTAGTTTGGGGGCTAGCCTAGGAACCTAATCCTCATTAGCATTTCTCTAGGAAAATGAATTTTGAGTTAGAATAAATCTCCAAATGAGCTTTGGAGGATAACGTGCTTGTAAGTTGGGGACTGCCTGTCCCAGCAGTATAGCATAAGGGTGTGTGACGAGGTGCTTGGGGTTGAAGGAGGACACGTAGTTGCAGGGGCTGTGGAGTGGGTCAGACCATGGGCTTTGGAATGAGCAGGTTTACATCTGAATCCCACTTACATATTGTGTGCTTTGCCCCTAAGTTTCCATCTTGGAAATTGTAGCTGTTGATACACATGTATGTGGGTACGGTGTCTGCATGCTGGTTGACTCCAATCAAAGTGATGAGGGAGATGTGAGAGTTTTTCCCTCAAAGTCCCTTCTGCCTGTTTGTGCTACATCAAAGTGCAGCATCTTACCTAAGTTTTCCTTTGTGCAGAAAGGGCACTGATGCAAGCACTGGGCCTTCTGACTTGCTTCCGGAATCTTCAGAGCACATCCAGGCTTCTGTGATAACTGGAGCAGGCTGAACTCTTGCAGGTCCTTCCCTCACTGCTGCACGTGGACTTGGTCTCTGGCATCCTAAAACGTTGTAAAAGTTGGGTTCAGAGATGTTAATTTCCAGTGATGTTGAATTCACTATTATTTTTGCTTCTGGGAGGATTTCTAGTCTTCCTGTTTATTTTATTGTGTAACTTTTTTCTCTCGGGTCTTCACTGACATGTCTGGGAATAAAGAGATAAGTTTCTCAATCTAAGTTAATTTTTCAAATCAGGTAGGAGAAAGGAGGGAAAGTTCTGAGTGTGTACTGCACATGCCTAGGGAACTGGAAGAATGATTTAGTTTCTAGTCAGTAGTTAGCCTTTCTCAGGAATGTATTTTTGGAGGTTGAATCTCTTTTTGAGATTTTTTCTCTAACATGGATTAAGCAGTCTTGTACTATAATCTTCATAGTTCCCTGCCACTACTTTTTCAAAGACCTGTGTTGATTTTTTTTTTTTTTTTCCTTTCTACCTCTTTCCCTTTGATTATTTGTGATGATTGGCAAGTGGTTGTGCAGTTTCAGGAATTGGGAGCACTGCTCTGGTTCTTTACTCCATTGAGTAATCAGATGTTTTCATGCCTAGATCATCTTTATCATTGAGAGATACCGGCTTAAAAAATGTGGAACATAGGGTGTTTGGTTTGGGGCCTACGTTATCCTTGTAGAAAAACGTAATCTGTCTTGAGACCCAGTAGAGGACTGAATGTCCTGCTCCTTATCCTAATTGGCATCAGCGATGGTGGCCACAGTGCTTTCCTCGTCTGACAGTAATGCAGATGAAGCTGGCCTCAGGACCAGATAATTATTCTCAGTGGATGCACATGGCAGACATAATTATGAATCACTTTATCTCCTTTGTGGTGTAGTCACTGGAAGATAAAGAACAAGAGGGATTCGGGTTTGGGTAATGCAAGGTAAATATTGACTCTTGTTTTCATCTGCAGCTTTGGGACAGACTATTTAATATGTTACATAGGTGTAGCTGGCCTTTGGTGTCTTTTTTTTTTTTTTTTTTTAAACAA